TTACTGCGCACCTCACGAAGTCTTTAAAACGCAAGATTAACCGCTTAACCGTAAAAAGATCTAGGACTAGGACATTAACTAATACGGATATGATTTTTTAGCAGGTTTCTACACACAGGAGCAGAAGGTCTAGGACAATATAGCCTGTCTAGGACGACTTTTTAGACCGCTATATAGTTGGCGATTGATCAATTTTAAGAGACTAGTTAAAGCTACTAGAAGGAACTAAGCAGCCGCATATACTAGCTGCGAACACTTGTTTTCGAGCATTTTATAGGAACAGAAAGGAGAACTCATAATTATACAGCAGGCATATCTTTTAAAAAAGCTCGAAGGAACAAGGTGTGATAGTCGAGAGCGACTAGAGGAGCAGCTATTATGCCTATAGAGGGGCGCGCCGGTTAGTGGCGGACTTACAGAGGATCAAAAAGATAGAGAGGCACCACGATGAGTGATCCGACTCATGCGAATAGCAGTCCGACTTTTTAAGACGGCGTCGGACTAGGGGGTGTGTCGCGGAAATGGACTTGATGTTGGACGTCGGATGATCACGTGATTGGATCGGGTCTTTGAGACTCCGGATCCGTGCCAAGGGACTGATCCATTATGTACAAATACCGGACCAGCCGTCTGATCTTTCTGATCCTTAGAGTAATCAATGATCCCACTCTTGAACGAATCTGATCGGTGTCATCCCAACTGTAAGGGTCTCACATAGGTCAGGTATTTGAAACTGTGTTGAATTACAAAGTAATTGCAGTGCAGAGCTTGTAAGAAGCTCTGCGCGGAATATATCTAAGTGGGGGTGTGCATGGGCCACCAAACAGGTGGCTCGTGCGCGAACATCAAAACAACGCTAAGGCATCTGGCAGGTGGCCTGTGCGGGGCAACGGCCCAAAATCATCACACAACTATCATACTTCTTTACTACTCTATACGGTCTAAGATTCTCCTAGTTAAGCTTTTTAGACGCCCGCTGTGTTCGTATATTTTGTGCGTCTAGCTAGACTTTATTACTAGGTTAGTAAGCTAGTGTAGAGAGTTACTTCTAGTTTGCGTATTCCTGTTATAGGGCTTATGCCTAAGTTATTTCTTCGCGGATAAACTCTATAATATCGTGTATTTTATTAATCATTATATTAACCTTGCGGGCTTATAGAGCCTAATACGCTAGTCGCTTCTTATTAGTAGGTAATTTAAAGCCCATTTAGAGGTTCTAGCTGTAGTAGGCTATTATTAGGGATACTCCTATAGACTTAGAGATAGTATTATTTACTTTAAACTAAGTAGTAGAAAGCTATTAAACCTAATCGTCATACTAGTAGTTTGTATACGCGCGTAGGACTTATTCTATTATAGCGTTTACGTTCTTCATCTAGCTATTAGTCTTAGGGTAGTAGCTAGTAGAGAAACGTAGGTTAATCTTTAGCTAGGCGCAAAGCTCGTTATAAAATGTAGAGATATACTATCTACTGCGGTTAGAGACTATTATATTAGGGATGCTATAGTTATACTAAACGTAGCGCAGGAACATACGTGCTACGTTAGCAGCCTCTATCTTATTATAAGGGATTATATATTAGTACTTAGAGAGGCGGTCTATAATAACTATAAAATTCCTATAACCTTTAGATTCTAGTAGGTCTATAATAAAGTTAATAGAGATATCCGCCTAGCGTCGCTTAGGTATAGGTAGCGGTTTTAGCAGGCAATAGTACTTCTCGTAAGAAGCCTTTAATCGTTAGTAGATATAATAGTAAGAAGTATAGTAGTAGATAGTCTTAAATATATAAGTCTAGGTATTTAGACTAACGTGCTTAGCGGTGACTTAGTTACTCTATAGTAGCAGAGTACTATAGGTTTTTATAGTTGCTAAGTATAAAGATAGGGAAGGAAGCTCTCTCTAGTTCTAGTCTCTATTACTTAAAATAGTAGATAATAGTAAGTAGCTACTTGTTATAGATCTTATAGTTGTTCTTAGCAAGGTTTATTCTCTTCTAGTAGTAGGCAACTAGACGAAGGACGCCGTTAAATCTAGATTAAGAGAGGACTCCTACTATAACATAGTTAGAAGTATTAGCTTTAATAATAATTAGTAGGTCTAGGTTAATGTGTTGTAGGATTAGTGCGCTAGTAAAGGTAATTTTTAGATTATTAAAGGCCTTTCGACAGTCGTCATTAAAGAGGAATTTAACGTCTTTCTTAGTTAGGGCGATAAGCGAAGTAGTAAGGTAAGAGAAGTTATCTATAAACTATTAGTAGAAGTTTATAAATCTAAGGAAGTCTCGTACGTCCTTTACGTTACTTAGGTATTCCTAGTCTATAATAGCTTAGACTTTCTTAAGATCTATTTGTATTCCGTTAACTCTAATAACGTAGCTAAGGTAAGTAACTTTAGTCTAGTAAAATTCGCATTTATTAATATTTAGTTAAAGTCTAGCTTCCTTAAGAGCGCCTAAAACTGCTCTAATATGCTTCTTATATTTATATAGGCTCTTACTATAGATTAAGATATCTTTAAGATACTTAGTATAAAATATATCTAAGAATAGACGTAACACGTTATTTACGAAGTGCTAAAATATACTTAGTGTGTTAGCTAATCTAAATAGTATAACTTAGTATTTAAATAGGCTATACTAAGTACGAAAGGTAGTGAGCTATTTATTACCTTTAGTAATACGTAGGCGATTAAAAGCAGTAATAATATTAAGCTTTATATAGTACTTTGCTTTGCTTAGTTAGCTTAAGGTCTCCTAAATTAGTAAGATTAGGTATTAGTTCTTAATAGTAATAGCGTTTAGTGCCTAGTAGTCTATATAGAATTAGAGACTCCCTCCTAGTTTTTTTATAAAGATAATAGGTAAGGTAATATGCGAAGAGCTTACGCGGATAAAACCCTTAGATAGGTTCTTGTTAAGGTAATTACGTAGCACTTTTAGTTTATCTTAAGATATACTATAGAGCGGGCTAAAGCTGTGTTACTTACCTTCTACGAGTTCGATCTTATAGTCGTATAGGCGTCTCTTTAGGAGCTACTCTAAATTCTCTTAGGAGAATACTTCTAGTAGGTTATAGTATTCTAGAGGGACTTTCGTAGTAGGGTTTATATAGGTCTTGTTAGCTAGGGCCTTATCAATTTCCGCTAGGCTAACGGCGTAGATCTTATACCCCTTCATACGTGCTAGGGTTATAAGTAGGGCTGCGCTAATATAGTAGATATTAAGCTTAGGTCTTAACTTCAATTTATTATTTTAATTATATAGTGTAGGCGTATAGTCTTAGCTAAGACTATAGTTCTAATTAGGTTTTAACTCTTATAGTTAGCTCTTTATCTTAAACTACTAATAGTTATACCGCTATCATATAGCGTGTGTAAGTTTTAGGGCTTAGGAGCGAGTAAGGGTTTAACTATTACCTCCCTACTATCCTTCTATAGGGTAGATAGTTATTTAAGTTTTCTTAAGGTAGCGTTTAGTACACCGCTAGGCGGTAAATAGGAGCTTCTCCTTCTTATAGTGTAGGTTTACCTAGTGCTTACGCATCTAGGGTTAGCCTTAGAGTATCTTATAGCGTCTAGTATTTGTAATAAAGAGGTGTATAGACTTAGTGTAGTTATTATATTATAGGGTTAAGTTAATAGTGTAAGTTACTTCTCTACCGTCTAGTCTAGTTCTAGTAAATCTAGTTAGGTATATAACGCAAGGTAGTAGGTCTTAGTAGAGTTTTAGGTTACGCGAGAGATCTCTATAAATACATTTAATACCTATAGCTCTAGTATTAACTAAGGCATTAAGATTACTTCTAATATTGCCTTATTAAGCTACGTAAGGTATTATAATATAGCGTTTCCAGGTATTTGGTTAAGATTTAGACTAAAGTTTAGTAGAGATTTAATAAGTGCGCGGTCCTAAGGAGCGACTTATCCCTAGGATACGCCTTTCCCCTTAGTAGGTGACTTGCGAGAGCGGCGTCCCTGCGATCGTAATTTTAAAGACTTTAAAGAGTTAGATTAGATAGAGCGAGGGCTCGTAGAGTAAGGAGGGCTATTTAATTAGATATGCTAGGTTAGTAAAGGCACGTTGTAATCCTTAGAGATATAGCCTATCTTGTTATATTTAAAGTAGCGCCCTTCCTTAATTCGCTTTTATTATTCGGCGGAGCTAGCTAGGGCGTGGTTTAAGGTGTCTAACTCTATTTCTATAGGGAACTTTAGCTATTTAGCCGTTATATAATAGGATTAGCTAGCTAGTAGGTAATATAGTTTATTATCGTATAAGGCTATTAGGTTAGCGTAATTATTAAGGGAGCGAGGAATTAGAATTCTTACTATAGCTCTTTTAAACTTATTAGAAAGTAAGCGTTAGAGCTAGTTAATCTAGGCACCTTTATTTAGGTTAGTGTTAGCTATAAGGCAGCGAAATTTAGCAAAGTAAGACAGAAAGTTCCTCTTTCTTTACTTTAGGTTATCAAGTTAGCTTTAAGTAGTAAGTTCGTAGTTAGAGCTTCTATAAGTTACTTTAAGGAACTAAATAAGTTAGTCTACTATAATAATATTCTTGCCTATAAGTTGGTTAATAAGTGTAGTAAGGTTATATTTAAGTTAAGAGTATACGTATATAAGTCGTAATTCTTTAGTAGGGAAGCAGTTAGCGTTTCCTTTTAACTTATAGCAAAGTTTAGTAAGGAAGAGTAGGAGATCTTTCTTCTTGCTACTAAAGGTAGGGGGGTTAGGTAGTCGTTCTAACCTCGAGTTCTTATTAGGGGCGGGAGTTTAGGTCGTAGGTAAGGTCTAGGTAGTTAGAGATAAGCTATTCCTAGACTTTAGGGTGCCTTTAGGTGCTAGTTCCTCTTTAGTCTTAGTAAAAGTAGCTTTTAGTAAGGTTCTTGCTAACTACGTAACTATATTAAGGCGCTCTTTAAAGTTCTTGCATATAGCAGCTATTTCCTTATAATAACGCGCCTCTTGCTTCGCAAGAGTGTCCGTCAGGCTAGTAATCTGCTGCAGTATAAGCTGCAAATCAGAGTTCAGCTCCTTAGTAGTTATAGTTAGTGTGACGCAACATAATATTATAAGAGACTACGTTGCAGTTAAACACAGACAGAAGATAGTCTTTATAGTTCTTTGTTAGTTGTAGTTACTATCTAGTATAGATATAAGACGTTGCGTAAGGAAACAGAACAGGTTTAAGTTGCGGTAAGCAGATATAAGCGGGGCGCGTGCGCTTAGCGCGGGCCCTAGCTGCCCTTAGCTAATTAACAGATGCCGGGTGCTTACAGGAGCACCTAGCGTCTATAGCCGTTCGGATGTCAAGGAATCAGGGTGATTACCGTGACAGTAATAGATAGTAGAGAGTTTAGGGTGCGTTCCTACCTAGGCACACAGGCGACTCTAGAAATATAACGTAAATTAGCGGCCCTAATCTAATACAAGAGTTCTTAGGTATCCTTCCTCTTTCTAGATAAATTCTATAAACTTGTTAACAACTATAAGTACCTCTAGGGTTTCTATTATAATAAATTTCTTTAATTTTAATGAATAGTCGACCACGACTATAATATTTTAGTAAGAGTAACTACACTAGGTTAAGTTAAATAGTAGGGTAATAAAGTTAATAGATATATCGTCCTAGTACTAAGTACGGATAAGTAGTAGGTAAAGTAAACTATATTTAGCAGTGCAGTTAATCTTAGAGCGTTTATAGGTTAGATAGTTATTAGTAAAGCGTATAATTATATTTGTTATACCTTACTAGTAGTACTACTAGCTTACTGATTAGTACGTTATTATATAACCTTTGTAGCCGCCTAGTAAGCTATCATAGATGTGTGCGATAATCCTTATATAGAGTTTCTTACTAAAGGGGATAATAAGACGCCCGCTATTAATAAATAGCTTACTATTGTTGCTAGCTTCTAGGTTAGCTAGTTCTATCTAAATACCTTACGTTATCAAGCATAAAGTACCTAACGCTCGCGTTGTTAACGCTAAATAGCCGAAGTATTATTATTGCTGTAGCAGTAATATTATTGCTAGCATACGCCCTATATAGCTTAGGTAACCTAAGTAGGTAGTTAACTAGCTTACCTTCGCTGTTAAGGTAATGTACGCCGAGGCTAGTAAAAGCATACTGCCTACTAGTTAAAGTCTAGTTATCGAATAACACGTGTATAAGCGACTAGGCTTCGCGAAGGTAGTTAGCAATAGCTAGTATATATGTATTATACTTAGTAATAATATAATCGCGGAGCGTTTAGTTGCTACGCTAAAGGAGGGCTTTAGCTAGCGGGCTTACGGCCGTAATTATGGCTCGAAACTGCGGCATTTCTATTACGCGAAGACTCTAGTTGTCCGCGACTACCTAGTCCTTCAGCGCGTCCTAAAATCAAGAGGTTAAAAAGCTTGCTGCTATCTCGTTTGCTACCTCTTACGATACTTCTATCCCTTTAGACTTTATAATATGTACTTAGGACTTTGCGAGCGCGCCCATAATGTTGCCCTCACAGCTAGCAATTAGTATAGGTCCGTTAGGTCCGTGTGAGTGTCCAGGCTTGTTGCTTAAGAGGTGTCGGCCGGCGTTTGTAGTGCTGTCAGCCTTATAGCAAGCCTCCTGCTTCCGTCGTTAACGGCAGTACTAGCAAAGCTACAGTAGTAGTTTTTCTTGTACTTGCGGTGCTAGACGGCCCAGCCGTGGCGGTAGATCTAGCTTTTTGGCCTACCGCGACTATTACGCTCAACCTAGCACCGCTCAAGATACGGCACACGCTTAAAATCAAGCCCGTCGTAATTGTCGTCGTCGTCGTCGTCGTCGTCGTCGCCGTCGTTAGGGAAGTCCGCCTGTACTGCCAAGGGCTCATCAGCCTTTGCCTCGCTCGCAGTATCGCTAACAGTAGGCGCGTTTAATAGCGATGGTAGAGAAGAATTGCGCTTGTCGTATTCTACAAGGCGGCGAAGGCCTGAATTAGAGGGAGTAGACATGAAGTACACTAAGAAGTATTATGGCAACAGTAGTCTAGCGTTGTGTGTATAGCAGACGCGACGCGACGCGAAAGGCTTGCTAGGTGCGCACTGGGCAGCGCATCTCCACAAACTCTAATTAGCTTTAAGCTAGATGCTTTAACTTATATAGAATTAGTGTCTCTATATCTAAGACTAGCGCGGCTTCGAAGCCGCACTAGATGTAGCTTTCATAACTCTAAAATACTGCTTTAAAAACAGCTAACGTCAGTCTAACGTTAGTCAGTTCAGTCAGTCTGGAGGCTTCTGAACTGACTGGACTGACGTCCAGCGGCCTCAAGAACTGACTGACTGAACTGAGTCTTGGCAGTCAGTTCAGTCAGTTCGAACTGAGTTACCTGACTGATAGCAAGTCTGCATGCTCCAACACGAGTTCGTTGTGGAGTGGTCAAATGGAGACACGGTGTGTGATATTGAGCCTGTCTCTGTATCTGCTGACTTGTTCCTGTAGGAGACGTTTACTTCTACACTTGAACTGTTCGGCGACCCCAACCGCTACTCTGCTATGGCCCTGTCCGTCGGTGTTACGTGTGGAATTGCCACATAGTTGTTGATGGATGGGCATCCGGCGGTACGAATACCTGGTGTGTGGGCTCCATACCAAAAATATATGTGTGATCTGATTAGGGTTCTCTTGGAGAAGGAAGGTGTAGTACTGGTAGAGAGAAAGATATAGCTGAACACTAGGAAAGATTCCGTGATAAGAAAGAATTCTCATGAGAAAACTTAAGAATATTTAATGAGACAACGAGGGTAGAATCAGGTATCTTTATAAAATCGATAGTTGTTCAACGGGTAGTCAATCGTAATGGGTAGTCAAGTCGACTTCAACTGAATGTTATCCAGGTTGGTGGTTCTCCTCGATCGTACATCTGCTGCATCGAAGTAATTAATCATTTGAAGACTTTCAAATGCGGTAATTTTGGCTGTCTCGAGTCTACTGTACCATGATACCAGGAATATGATCCAACTGCGCCGTAGAAGCTCGTAACGGATCTAATTTGGCGTGCCTAATCATCGAAACAAACACACTAATCAGCATAGGAGAAAGGCATCACTAGGTGCATTCAAGTATCCATGTTGCATTCACATGTATAAATATGGAGAAGTGATATTGGTACTGAGTAGCAGATGTTCACCACTTAGCGTCTGTAATGCAACCACACGTATATCCCCCAGGATTCCTATATTCATTAGTCGTTGCAACAGCAAGTTGAAAAGACGCGGAGAAAGACATACTATCTAAGGACATTACCGCGCCTCGCACCCGGATTACAGAGATAGTCACAAGCTGCATACCACATGCATATAGAGCCAAGCTCGCCATGGGTCGAGAATACTTCAGCTCTGAATGCAGGTTAACAAGGTGACGTGCAGAAGTTGCAATCTACCCACGAGAAATATTTGCAATCTTCATATGTTTCGTTCTCTAATTCTGCTTGAGCTTGGCAAAATGCCACCTCGTCAGAGGTGCAATTCTCCTTGGTATAAGCGTACTTCCCCCCGCGCTCGGCACCTCGCACAACTGCGATGGAAGCGAGAAAGGCGAACAGGACTTGAGAGCGGAACAGCATAGTGAAGGTTAAAGACTGGGACAATGGTGTTGTCGTGTTGACTGAAGTGTGAATGAGTCTGTGGTTGCGTTGAACATACACCGCTTGACTGACTGAAACGAGACTGAACATGATAGAGTAGACGTTCCATCTCTAATTATATACCTTCTCCTCTATTCTTCCAAAGAATACATGGTTCGGCACAGCTTCCCCCACTTGGCCGGTCCATCGCACCCTGACCATGACTCGCAATCAGCTGACGCTGCACTAGCTGGAAGAAGTAAAAGATGGCCCGTAAGTTTCATCATATATATTTCCTTCGTGTCGTTGGTTTCTTGTCCTATCGAAGTTCAAACTTTAGACTAATACACAGGGCCCTCTACAGGAAGCTTTGACAGCAGTAATAAATATTTTAGCAGGAGTGCCTATACATTTATAACGTATTCTAGCACCGAGTGAAACAAATCACCGAGCGGGTCAGTTCTTGCCAAGAACACCAATTCTCTTCTTAACGCGAAATGTCTCCACAACTACACGCGCTATTATCTAATCTTAAAGAGAAAATTCAATTTAACTACACTTTCTACGTATAAGAATAGGGGGGATGGCGCAGTGGTAGTGCGCCTGGTTGCTTCTGCTAGCTTGCTCGCAGAGGTTGAAGGTTCGAATCCTTCTCCCCTCACCGCTATAATAATTCTATTATTCTAGCTTTACCAAAAAACATCGAACGGCTCCTTTCGAAACCTGGAAAGTTTTTCACCAATACCCCGCACGCTTAACGCTAGCCGCCGCCGTACAACCGAGCCACAAAGTACCGCCGAGACGAAAATATGCCGCAACTGCCGCTATATACAACAAACGTTCAAGGTCCCATGACTTTTTCCCCTACGAGGTTTTTTTCAGTCTTAGGAGCACGGGGTTATTATAGCAAAGGGATTGGTCACAAAGGTGGAGATAAACGGGTGTCTATTACAAGGTCTCTCTCTCTTTCCTGTATAGAAGCAAAAAACCCAAACCCCCATAGTCAAACTCGACCAAAGAAACGAAATCCTACGGGTATAGAGGGAAAAAACTAGTCAAACGGCCCTAGGCCACCGTCCTACATAGTCTCTGACTGAAAAAAGGACGTTAATGGATACTACTACTACTACTACTACGTATAAGAATAAATAATTTTCGAGCCTTTAACGCGCTATAGGCGCATTTACCGTGCTTTTGTCAGATATTCACTCTTATCTGGTATAGTGATGAAATAGGTGATGATAATGATAATATTATTGATGGTTGATTGTGTCGTGGTTCTGTCTACTGTGATGGTTTTGGGCCGTTGCCCTGCACAGGCCACCTGCCAGATGCCTTAGCGTTGTTTTGATGTTCGCGCACGAGCCACCTGTTTGGTGGCCCATGCGCACCCCTACTTAGAAATATCCTGCTGTTACGGATCCATAGACTCGCTCGGCCCATGGCCCCCATATCGATAAGATCCTTATCTTATCGGACTAGCGCCTTGGCGCCCACAGCATAAGTTCGGGCTCACAACGTAGATAGCTCGATAGCTTGTATCTTGTCAAATCCAATCTTTCTTGATCGATCCCTCACATTATACAAGCTCCCTTTCAAGACGGGCCCTGGAAGCTCGTTCGCGAATTGTATTTTCTTGTCGCTGCGAGCGACAAGCCAACGACAGAAACACTTACGCGACGAGGATCGCATTGACTATACGTACCGCCGCAGAAGAGCCGCCGTAGTAAAGACACCTGATTGCCCAGCTGCATAGCTGTACCCACCTGCCAGAAAAGACCCGCCGCCGCAGAGTGCCGCCGCGGAAGACACTGGATTGCCCAGCTGCATAGCTGTACCCACCTGCCAGAAAAGATCCGCCGCCGCTTCTAGCGCTGCCGCCGATGATGGCCCGACTAAACGAGACGAGCAAGGATGCCCACGACCAGGGTGCTCAGAACGACACACAAACCATTCCAGCAGAGTCGCACCTTGAGTACGGCGACTTTGAGAATGACGACGACCTCACCGAAGCGGAGAAGGCGACTATTAGACAGAAGCTCGCCACCCGCAAGAGACAGGTCACTTTTGGCCGTGGAGACGGCCAAGGCAACAGCGAGGACGAGGGCAATGACGTCAACGCCGCTGAACGCCGACGACAGTCTTGTAGACAGTCTCTTAAGAAAGCCGTTAAGCCAGCGGATAAGACTTCTATAGAACTAGGCTACGACGACGACACGGATGACATGTATCTACGTTTTTATGGCATCCACGACAACGATGAGCGCGAGATCCTCGCGGACATGAGGAACGTTGACGACTTCACCGCTTGCATCGCTGAACATGCTGAGAGTGTCTTTGGACACCTAGCAGATTTGCTTAGTCAGATAGCTGAACAAGCCGAACAGCTAGACCAAGCACATAATGAAGCCCGTGTACAACAAGAAGCAGCTGACGCCCGCGTGGAGCGCGCCCAGACGCAAGCTCGCGCTGCCGCCGCAGACGAGCTTGCCCAAGTCACCCAGAAATGCAACCGCATGATCACTACTAAGAACAGCTACGCTTCACGGCTAGCAGTGCTCGAAGACGAGCTTGCAGCCTCGCGCGAGTCAAACGTGAAGCTCTACTCCCAGATTAGCGACCTCTACAACGAGAGGAGTGTCCTGCAACAGCACGCGGGCGTCCCGACGAATGGAAATTTATATGACACGCGCCCAGCTCAGTTCCAGTCGTCCCCTCCTCCAATGACTGCGAACCCGTTCATTGGCACTGGCACTCACGACTTGATGCTGCCTCCCCCTATGGCACATCATCAGAAAAACCGACCCCTAGCTCGGTCTGCTGTATCGGACAACCTCACTGCAACGGGTGCAAAGCTGAAGGATATTGACATCTTTCGCGGAGACAGCACCGACAAAGAGGACTACAAGTATTGGCGCCGCAGCGCCAGGAACTTCTTAAACAAAACTACTATCCACACAACTGTTCAAGATCAGCTCGACTACCTGATTGACCACTTGCGAGGACCAGCCGCTGCACAGGTGGAATATAGAGCAGCACCCGGAGCTCGTAACGCCTACGTGACAGCGGAAGAAGTCCTCACGGAACTTGATCGCATCTTTGACACGGTCGACAAGGTCACCGAAGCCAGCGCAGCGCTACACGACAGCGGCTCTGGAGGATTAAAGCAACGCGACAATGAATCGTTTAACACCTGGGTAGCCCGCTTTACCTCTACAGTCGCACCATTGAACCTGGGCGACAACGAAATGATCCAGCACGCGATCCGACTCATGAAGTTTGGTCGTAACGCAGGTTTACAATTCCGCCATGGTGATACTTGGGAAGCGTTTGCCCAGAATTGCCGCACTCAGCAACAGCTCTCACGTCTCACCCAGAGCAGCGGAAATAATGGTACCCGAACCGGCCGCAACACGTCTAACGCTGGTGGTGGAGGTAATGGCAACGGCAACAGCAATAGCAGCGGCTCCACAACGCGTAACAACTACGGTCGCACGCGCGCGCAACTCAACGCGTTGAGTAAGCAAGGCGAGTGCTTTAAATGCGGAGGCACGGCAAATGTCAGCGGCAAGAAACATCGTCCGACCGACGCAGACGTCCCAGCAGCCTGCAAGTCTGGCTCTATCGTGCCAGCTAGCCGCGTCCCTGCCCTCAAAGCTACATTCACCAACGCCGCCCTCCAGGCCACAGTCGTCGATGCCACCGACGAGTCGGAAAACTAGCCGTCCCCGGCGAAAGACGCCCCCGGGGACCGCACCAAAATGGTCCACAGATACAGTTACAGTCACAGTCAAAGCCACAACTACCAGTCCAACCCTTGTTAGCGATACCCCCTATTGTTTCACCGACCCTTGATACCCAAACTACCCCGCTCACCGGAGCTACACCTAGCACTTTACGCGTTTGTTTACAAGAATTGGAGGACTGGACGCCTCCCCAGGCTATAGAGGACAGACACGTTGTCTTGAGCGCGAACACTATGGTCAAAGGCAAGCAGCTTGTCCAAGGCCAGCAGTTCGTTTTCAAGTGCAAGGTCGCCACTTCGAATAGCTATATTGATACGGAAGCTTTGACTGACTCTGGTGCTACTGGAAACTGTATCTCCACACTATTTGCGCAACGACATAACCTGCCGACGTTTCGGCTTAAACAACCTTTGCAACTACGACTTGGCGACGGCAATTTCGCCATGGCGCCTATCACACACGGCGTCCTAGCCCCCATCTCCCACGCTGAACACGTTAGCGAGGAACTCTTCTACAGTGTACCTATGACGACTTACGACTTTATTTTCGGCACTTCATGGCTAGAAGAGCATAATCCACACATCGACTGGAGGGAAAAAACTATGCGTTTCAACAGCGAGCATTGCTACGCCAACTGCCTACACAAAGGCGAGCAAGTCACTGTTCGCAGCAGTCGACACCGACGGGCCGCAGCAAAAGCCAAAGAACGGAACCCGACCTACGCGAACATGGACATACACCATGTGTCAGGTGAGGCCGCTGCCGCACTGGCATCACGACCAGAGAACGGTACTATCTGGCTGTACCCACATGATTTTGAACAACTCGACAAAGATGACAGCGATGACGCCGACGAGAGAGCCCAGGCTAGCCGCGTCTTCGCCTCACTATTTGCCATGGACATGAACGCCCTATCTCAGGAAGACATTGATAAGTTCCACCAGAAGCTGAACTCGCCCGCTAAAACTCGCGACGAGGTCCTAGACAAGTTGCCCGAATGGCTCCACGATCTCGCCCACCGATTTAATCCTGATCCCGCCACGACAGACTTGCCCGCTCGACGAGGCGCGGTCGACCACAGCATTGACATTATCCCCGGATCAAAACACCCAAACGCTAAGATGTACGGCATAAGTAAGGACGAAGGCCTTGCCGTTAAAGCTTATGTTGAGGACATGAGAGGACGCGGTGAGATCCGTGAAAGCAAGTCAGACTTCGCTTCGCCTGTGCTCGTCGTCCGCAAATCTGGAGGTG